CGAAAGAAAATACAATGGTCAGACTTATATTATACCTGACACCGTTAGTGTAAGAATGCACAAAAATTAAATAAATATATCTTGCTTCAAAAGTGTTATTTCTAATTTTTTTTTCATTAACTGTATATTAAGTTTTATCCAAAGAGAGCAGTTGAATATATTATCGTAACTGGTGAAAGTTTAGATGAATATCACCAATCGATTTCGAATACTGTTAACGTTGGAGGTAAATTCTATTATTATAATTTATTAAATAATATAAAATGTATTTGGCTTTAATATATACATATTGTTCTCTAGGGAATGCTTTGGGTTTTACTGGTTCTTTAGATGTAGAATTAGGAAAGGTCGTTGACTATAGCAAATTTCGAAAATTTAGTCGTGTTCAATATGATTATTCATCTCACCTTCTTCATCTGACATCATCCCTTCTAATGTTGCGGAAATGTCTTAAACCAGAAATTCGTTCTGAAATTAATAATTTAAAAATTGATCCAAAAACTATTTTTAATCGCTATGGAACTCATTTTATTAATAGTCTTAAAATGGGTGGTCGTGTTGTTATTAGTGCGTGTACTAATAAACTCGATTATAATTCTAATGCAAATTATAAGTTGGTAGCAAAAGCTGCAGCCTTAAAAATATTTAACGGTGAAATATCTGAAGAATATAAGGAAGAAATTAAAAAATTTAGGTTGCATAGTGAATTTAATTTTCATGCATGTGGAGGAGATATAGGAGCACTTGGAAATGACATGATGCATCCAGATATGAACAGATGGGCTGCAACAATTCCAAATAATTCGGTTTTCACAGCATTTGATAGATCAGACAGGTATTTACTATTTAATAAATTCGAATATTAATAAAAAGTATGTCAAAATCTAAAATCAATATATTATTTAAAAAAGTCTTTCGTTTATTGGTGATTTGGCTGAAGATGAAACTCGTAGAAAACAATTTATGGATGCTTGGCTTGTTTATGCTAACATTCACAGAAGGAAATTCAAGTCTTTTGACCCTCCATATTTGGAATACACGTATGTGACATCCAACACCGATGCTACAAAGGGGGGATTGGGAACTAGGCCAGTTATTAATGAGGGAAGCAAATGGTAAGATTATAATATTATGTTAAGAGATAAAATTTAATTGGTATTAAATTATTTATCATTCTACAAACTATGATCTTGTTATAGGAAATGGCTAGCAGTTTCTTACTTTAAAAATAATGAAGGAATATTTGGAATTTTAATTAGAGAGAAACCTTATGCAGAAGGTCTCTTACGACCTGTAGCCAAAAAGGAATTTTTAAGTGGTTGCGGGTCTCTCCGTCGAATTAAACCTTTAACTGATAATCCAGATGAATTTATTTCTTTAGGTTGCTTCTTTGAGGTTAGTAATTATCCTGTGGATATCAAAAATCTTGTTGGTATTCATCGTAGTCTTTGTGTACGTGGTGAGCCTGGTGAGTCGGTTGATGATTATAGTTGGTATATTGCACCTAAAAATGATACACTTCATTTTTCAACAATTACTTGTAGTAATACCTTTAATCCAATATATGAATCTATTTGGCTTTTACAAATGAATTTTGTAGAATATGTAAATTTTTAGTTAAAGTATTTTTAACAAAACTAGTAACCTAGCATGTTTTCATGCCTGTGTTTTTTTAAATATTCTATATACTATTGTATAAATTTTAGGGGAAATTATATATAAGGCCCGAAAAATGAAAATAATTACAAATAAGGGCCCGAAGTTAAAATAGTTACATATATAGGCCCAAATTTTGAAAGATTTATCATTTAAAATTATATAAATATAAATTTTTTTTGACAGTTAAACGTACATATTACTTTCAATTAGTACTGCATTTATTCTCTTAAATTATTGCATGCAAAAATTATAACTACTTTTGACAATTTTTAAATGTAATTTAAATTTCATATTATAAAATGTATAAATACATATATACAGTGATAACGTTCAAGAATCCAATATCATCATAATGCAAAGTTATTTTGATTATTTTGTATTTGACCAACAGATAGTTATATATTACCAGCTTTAATTGATAAGAGCAAATTAACAGAGCATCTAAAAGAGATACTTTTAGTCAAATTGTAAGATTTTACAAACACTTCCTACCATTGTAAAATATTAAAGTCAATAAATATAAATACAAATAAAGACCCGGAAAGTGAAAATAATTACAAATACGGTCCCAAATTAAAAATGATTATATATAAGGGTCTAATTTTTAAAAATATTACATATAAGCTGAAAAAACGTGATCACAGGATTACTGCGCCGCAAAGAACTACGACCATTTAACTTATAACGATTGTAAAATCACTATTATAGGATTATCAATTGTTTTATTATAGGTATTTATAGTTATCTATATACCGATTTTACCACAAAATCCCGACATTCAAAACTCAACAGATATCTATTTTTCTTATATTCCAGGTATAGTGCTATATTATTGACTTTTTGTAGTAGATATTAGCTTGTCTATTCTTTTTATATAAGTTATTTGATTCTAATAGTACTGTTTCTTACTAGACAAGCTATTTACTAGATTAATTAGATACTATATTTGAGAGAAGACTTTGTAGAATCTTGCTTTACACAGTAAATTTTTATTTATCTTCCAAATTGAATTGGTATAACTATAGTTATAGTAACTAGCTAGTCTTTATAATAAGTTAACATATCCTATTTAGTTATAATAAAATATACAAGATCTAGTTTTTTAATAATTGTCACAAGTAGAATTGAACTCTAAATCTTGCTACTTAGGTGCAACAACTTAACTATTTTACTATATTGTTACGCAAAAATACTATTCCTGATAGATTGGCAATACTGATCTTGATAGTCAAAAAAATTTATTAAGTACTGTTCCTGATAGGGTCTTAAAAATGAACCCTAAACCTAACTTTTTCATTATAGTAGTATAGTATTTTAGAGGCCCTTTTTTAGAACCCTATCAGGAACAGTATGTAAATCGATTTTTTTCCCACCCTATCAGGAACAGTACCAACGATCAATCAGGAACGATATTTTTGCTATTGCTACACCTTATAAAAATTATATTTAGATTAAAAAATTTCATATTTTTATAAAAATAATGTATTTATAGAATATAAAAGAAATATTTTTATTAATATTTAAGTAAATAATTAATTTAATAAATTTTATTTTATAAATTATTCCAAATTATAAAAAATATTAAGATAATTATATTAAGATTTAAATAATTATATAATTAAAATAATATACTATTTAAATATTATTGTTTTTAAAATTTGAATTTATAGTATTTGATCAATTAATATGCATATAGAGTAAGCCAATAGAAATCAAGCAAATTATTTTTATTGAATTTGTTTTAAAACTTTACACACCAATAACTTAATCAAAACTTGATTAAATTTAATAAACTTTTTTTAAATAAATTTTATAAGTTTGTAGAATTTATTTAAAAAAATTTATTAAATTTGATTAAGTTTTTATTAAATTATTGTTGTTTAAAGTTAAAAAATTCATTGGTTTAGGCCACAGATAAATTAGTCTGAGTTTCTTTTCTTGCTATCTTAGGATATAAAATTTAAATAGATTCTTTTCTTTGTAAGAATTTTCTTTTCATTGTAGATAAATTAAATTAATTTTTAATAAAGTCAGAGACATGATCTCACCATTAATATTCAAAAAAAAAATTAAAAAATTTACTTAAAAAAAATTTGCTTGTTGATTTCTGCTAACTCAACCTCATATTTTAATATTTATTAAACTAAATATATATATAAAGATTATATAATTTTTTATAATAAAGGATTTATAATAAATTAGAAAATTTTATTTTATTTTTTGATTTATACTTTTAAAAAACCTCTATTTACTTTAAAATATATTATCTATTTGTTATTGATAAAATACTACTAATATTTTTAGTATAATTACAAGAGAAGATAGAGTACTACTAGCACTCCTATTGCATTACTTGGTCAATATTAAATAATATTAATTAAATCATATACTAATAATTATATTTAATAATATTAATTAAATCATATACTAATAATTATATTTAATAATAACAATTTGGTATCAAAAACTCAAATAAATAAGGTAATTATTTTATCAATTAACTAGTATGATAGGTGGTACAAAGTGCCACCCATCTTATTCAAAAATTTAAAATTAAAAATATATTTTAAGTAATTTAATAGTCAATAGCTTTTATACTTACTGATTTAACTGAAATGCATAGATATCAAAAATTATGCAATAGTGAATATCAGTGAATTTTGCTTTTGGTGCTATTAAGTAAATATAAGATGCATTAAATTTTGTATATATGTAAGAGTAATAATTAATAAATATGAGTAATAAATCATAATAAATTATAATTACAGTCTAACCTCCCTATAATCACACCCCTTGAGATAAAGATTTGTGATTATAAAAAGAATTTTACTAAGATGTGCTTATAAAGAGGTTTTTTTTCTATATGTTTATAATAGTTAGTTTTAAAATAAATGTGATTATAAAAAGAATTTTTATATGATATGCTTATATAGAGGGTGACTATAGAAAGGTTTGACTATATATTAAAAATATTACCAAAATCACAAATTCACCCATAATTAGTACTAATTAGTGAGATTATTAATTTATCTAATATTAAAATTATAAATCTTTTTATTATAAAAAACATAAATATATTGTGTTTTAGATTAATACTTTTGTTAAATATCAACAATACAATGATTGATTGATCAGAATCAACAGATTGGCCTAAACTATTAGGTTAAACTAAAGTAAGATCTGGTGTAAGCATTGATTCAAAGTACAAAAATGCACTCATTGTTGAAGTTACGAACCTAATTACTAGAAAACATTAAAGAAAATATATCATTAAAATAATCGAGATTATTTTGTAATTGTTGTTCTGTGCATTCAACCTTCTATTATCTTTTTATTATTTGTTTACTATCCCTTCTACTTTATTAATAAAATTGATAAATAATTGAAAGATCAAATAGATAATATAAAGAAAAATCAGGAATTCTAAAAATAAATTTCTATCTACAGTAATATTGCAGGTTTTTTAATCAATTTGATAATGATAATACTCAATTAAAGAATATTATCATCATTGAATCGATTTAAAATCTGTAACTTCACTGTAGATATAAATTTATTTTTAGAATTCTTGGTTTTCTTTTAGCATCACCCAAATGATTATAATTAATTATATATATATTCTCTTAAAACACAATCGTTAAAATAAAAGAATTAAATTTTATACTTATGCTGGTGATTTATTAAATGATTAAATAATTAAATAATTAATATTAATCATATATTCTCTTGAAACACAATCATTTATTAATAAGTGAACAGAAACATTATACTCATCCTGGTAATTATTGAACTATTAATTATTATAGTTAATTATACTTTCTATTGAAACAAAATTGTTAAAGTGGACAGAATTAAACTTCATATCTATTCTAATAATTTATTGATCAATTAAATGATTATAGTTAAATCTTATTCTCTTAAATATAATCATTAAAGTGAACATAATTAAATTTTATACTCACGCTGTTATAATTATTGAACAATTAAATGATTATGGTTAATCATAGATTCTTTTAAAACACAATTGTTAAGGTAAACAAAATTAAACTTTATACCTGCCCTGGTAATTTATTGAGCAATTAAATGATTTTACAGTTAATCATAATTGTCTTAAAACATAATCATTAAGGTAAACAAAATTAAACTTCATACTCACTCTGATAATTTATTAAGTAACTAAATGATTACAGTTAATTATATATTGTCTTGAAACATAATCATTAAGATAAACAGAATTAAATTTTGTACTTATACTAACAATTTATTGAACAATTAAAGTGAACAGAACTCCATACTCAATTAGTAATTAATTGAACAATTAAATGCACAAAAGTATTGACGTATATTTATATCAAAATAATCTAGTCTGATGTTTTAGTTATAATTTATTATTGTTATCATTAAAATCATTAAAATAGAATATACATAGAGATTATTATAACAGATAAGTAGTTGAGCTTGTGCAGCTTAATGCTGGCTAGTGGCTTCTTGTCTGCATAATGTAGTATAGCAGTTAGAGCTAAATTAGTAATAGCTGGTAGAAATTATATCTGTACTTTCAACTTAACCAGTATAGTATTCATTATTAAGTTAGAATAACTATATACAGAAGGTTATTTAGAATCATACTCCTTCTGTAATCTTAATTATGTGGGATTGGTTCTATTCTTGTTGCTTTTTCTTAGGCATATTGCCCAAGCTTAGCACTTTTTTGATCTGTTGACTTTGTTAACTCGAATAAAATTACAATAGATTGGTATGGTATAGACGAGCAAATCTGTATAGTACAGGCTTAATTTTTTAAAAACTATACTATACCAATATTAATTAGCTATAATTTATAAGCCTAATAAGTATAGTTTATAAATCAGTCTACACTATACAGATCTATTTGCTTATACTAGTATATGATTTATAATTGAGTGACTATATTGATATACATAATAATTGTATTGATA